GGCTGCGGTGGCCGAGAGCGGCCACTGCACTCCAGTCTGGGTGACAGAGTAAGACTCCAACTCAAAAAAAAAAGAAAGAAAGAAAGAAATGAAAGTCAAGCATTAATTAACACAAACAGAAAACCAAAAGACCTCATGTTCTCCTAAGCGTAAGTTAAACACTAGGTACTCACAGGCATGAGGATGGAAACAAGAGACACTGAGGACTCCTAAAGAGAGAAGTAAAAGAAGGGGGTTAATGTTGAAAACTACCTATTGAGCACCATTTGGGTGATGGATTTAACAGAAATATAAACATTACCATCATGCAACTTACCCATGTAACAAAACTTCTTGTGTAGCCCTTGAATCTAAAATGAAAACAAAACAAAATTTAAAAATATGTATTAACAGTGTTAACCTCTTTTTCACCTTTGTGAAGAATCAGACGGTTGTAGGTGTGTGAATTTTTTTCTGGGCTCTCTATTCTATTCCATTGGTTGATTTGTCTGTATGCCAGTATGGTTACTCTAGTTTTCTGATATATTTTGAAATCAGGTACTGTGATGCCTCCAGCCTTGTTCTTTTTGCTCATGATAGTTTTGGCTGTTTGGGGTTGTCCGTGGTTCAATATGAATTTTAGAATTATTTTTGCTATCTCTGGGAAAAGGGTAACTGGTATTTTGATAGGAATTGCATTAAACTTGCATGTTGTCATGTTAACAATATTAAATCTTCCAATCCATGAACACAGGAAATTGTCCATTGATTTGTATCTTCTTCACTTACTTTCATCAGTGTTGTATACATTTCAGTGTAGAGATTTCACTTCCTTGATTAAATGTGTCTCTACATATCTTAATTTTTATTGTGGCTATTGTAAATGACTTATTTCCTTGATTTCTTTTTCAGGTAATTTGCTATTAGCATGTAGAAACACTGTTGATTTTTGTATAATGTTTTGCCCTGAAACTTTACTGAAATTATTTATGCTTACAATTTTTTGTTGAAGTTTTTAGAATTTTATATATATAAATTTTTAAATTTTTATATATAAAATTTATATATTCATATCAACTGCAAACATGGACAATTTAACTACTCCTTTCCAATTTAATTTTGGTTCTTTATTTCACTTATCTAATCATTCTGGCTAGGATTTCCAGTAATATATTAAATAAAAGTGGAGAAAGTAAGCACTCTTACCTTGCTTTTAATCTTAGAGGAAAAGCTTTCAGCTTTTTTTCCATTCAGCATGATATTACCTGTACATTTGTCGTGTATGGTGTTTATTGTGTTGAGGGAATACCTTCTATGCCTAATTTGTTGAGAGTTTTTTATCATGAAGTGTTGTTGAATTCTGTCAAAAGCTTATTCTGTGTCTATCAAAATGATCACATGAGTTTTATCTTTCTTGTTGTTGATGTAATAAATCATATTCATTAATTTGTATATGTTCAACCATCCTCACATCCTTGGGACAAAACCCACTTTATCATAGTATATAATGTTTTGATTTGCTGTTGAATTCTGTTTACTAAAATCTTGTTAAGGACTGGGCAGATCTGGAGCAAGGATTGCTGGCATTTGTGATATAAAATGACCATTGGAGATTTTCAACTTA